CGTAGTTGGGACGAGTTGTGTCTGGGTGAGGATTTGGGCTCCTGACCACTAGGGTTTAACTTCAGACTAGCTGGTCGCTTACCCAGCTGTGTCTCCCTCCCCAGGACAAAGCACCTATATCACGGAGCTACTTGGAGGGTTGAAGAGCGACTGCTAATGGCCTCCCGCAGGGTCTGGCACAGAGCAGATGCGCCAAGGAGCTGCGTCCCTCCCCGTCCCTTCCCTGGCAGGAAAGGAAGAGCCAGGGAATCCTCCAGCCAGGCATCAGTTTTCCTCTTAGCAAAAAGCATTTTAAAAAAAAAACCAAACCCGTTGCCCTCTAGCAACTCCAACTCATGGTGCCGCCACGTGTGTCCCTGGGTGGGGCAAATGGTTTGCTCTCGGCTACTAATCAAAAAGTTGGCGGTTCCAATCCACGTAGCGGGTCGGCTGCTGTCTGCCTGGAAGCACCTCCTGGCCGCCTTCCCCAGCCACCCTCCCTGCACCCTGGGCTCCCAGGAGCAGCAGAGCAGGCTGGTTCTCGCCTGCCATGGAACACAGCACTGCCGTCCACAGCGTGGTCTGGTTTGTAAAGCCCTTTCTCACTCGTGCCCTCACCCGACCCCACATCCCTGGGGAAGGAGGAGCGCGGATGGCGGACAGCCACAGCTGGGCAGAGGTGAGGCCGACCACAGCGAGGCTGGCACCTGGCGTGGCTCCCGCCCTGCCCCCTGGCACAGCTGGTGGGGCCTGCAGAACTGCCATCAATCCTGAGCTGGGCCATCCCCAGGGTAGGACAGAAAGGAATGACGTGTCTTTGTTGACCTGACCCATGTTCCGGAACACCGAGGAGCCACAGTGCCCTGGATGCAGACGCAGCGAGGCCAGGACCTCCCCAGGCTGGCAGGACAGGGAACGAGACCTGCCTCTAGGGAGAAAGATCAGGCGAATCCGTCCTTAGGAGTCCCTGGATGGTGAAGCCCTCCCTCGGCTGCTAACAAAGGTTGGAGGTTTGAGTACACCCAGAGGCGCCTCGGAAAAAAGGCGAAAAGCCAGCCGCTGGAAACCATACAGAGCACAGTTCAATGACACACACGGGTGCGCCGTGAGTTGGAGTCGACTCAACAGAGCCAGTGTGGTTTGGGTCTCTGTTCTGGGTTCCTCCACGGCCCTGCAAATCAGACTCCCGGCCACTCTCCCTCTGGGCTGCCACCAGCCTTCAGAGTCCTCAGAGCCCAGGGCAGTGGGGAAAAGGGCTCCGGGGCCCATCCACTCCTTCAATGGCCCCTGCCCGCTGGACAATGAGAACTTTATTTAGTAATGGGGCCTCTGAGCCAAAAACATTATTGATGTCACCCACTCTTGTCACTCTGAGCACAGTGAGGCTCTTTCAGCAGGGGAGGGAGATGTCTGCCCAGGGGCCGACACGGAGAAAACAGAGGCTGGGAGCTCCTGGCTGGAAGGTGAGAGTCCGCTGGCCCAGCAGATCAATCGATCGATCATCAATTATTGATCACTGATCCTCGGTTGGCCCAGGGAGCGCACACTACTGCTGGCTGGGAGATGATATACGCTCGGGACGCCCCAGGCCCAGGCCTCAACCCCACACCTTCTTCTGGGGGCCTGAACC